ATCATGGGGGTGTTGGTATCCTTCCAAGTCTACATCTGAGAATGTGATGTCTGAGCTCAGTCGTGGTGCCTTAGATACAGCGTACACCTCCAAAGCCTCACCAGCTCTGATTATGCGTAGGTGGGCTTTCCTGGCTCAACTAGATTCCCCGCCTCCTGCAAAATCCCCTGATATTACCCTGATCTCTCCTAGGGGTTGTTGGTGCTACGCAAGAGCCTGCTGCTGAGGTGGTGGAGGTGGTGGGGCTCGATTCTGATTCTCCTGGGCTATGTAACGATGCAACTTCCCTCATTGGATCAGGAATTCTATCTCCTTCTTCAACTGAATGCAGTCATCAGTATGATGACCATGGTCCCTGTGGTACTCACAGTACTTTGAGGGGTCCCTTTTTGTCGGGTCCGCATTTATCCGAGGTGACCACCTCAGGAATTTTTCATTTTGTACTTCATACAAAATTTGCGATATTGTTGTGGTGAGTGGGGGAATCTGTCGAGGTGCGTATCTCGGCTGTAACTCCAAATGAGGTGATCCCAGACGATTTCTGATGTCTCCCCTTATTTTGGGGGAGCGATCTCTGTCTTTTCTTGGGGACCTATCTCGTCCTCTCTCTCTCTTTTTGAGACTTCGGTCCCTTTTTTTCTCTTCTTTCCCTTTATCTTTTTGCATGGATGAGCTCCCCACTTTTTAGAGCAGAGCTTTTTCGTCGTTTATGTATTTTTTCGCCTTAGTCAATATTTCGGCCATGCTCGCCTGGGAATTTTTTGAGATGGAGAACATCAGGTCTTTAGATTGGACACACAAACCAGCTATAAATATAGTAATGGCAAATTTCTCATCTGGGATGTCCATTTTTAGCGATTCCGGGTTGAACTTTTGAACATAGGATCTGAGATTCTCATAGGGTCCCTGTTTCACATTTAGCAAGTGGTAACTCGGCTTTCTGTACATTTAAGCTCCTATAAAGTGACACAGAAAGGATATGGATAGCTCCTTAAAGGAGGATATCAAGGCTGGGGGGAGCCTATTGAATCATGTTAGGGCTGAGCCCTTCAACGTGATGGCAAAAGTTCTGCAGCGCACTGGATTCTGGTATCCATGCAACTCCATCTGGTTTTTGTAGGTGTTGAGGTGATCTACGGGATCCTTTGTTCCATCAAAAGCCTCATCTGCGGTACTCTAAATTTTAGAGGGAGGGAAAACTGCAGCATGCCAGTGGTGAACGGAGATTCAATCTATTATACCAAGGCATCCATCGTAACTGGAGCCTTGCCTCTCACGGCTTCCTTCATGTGGCTGAGTTCTTGCTGGATACCCTAGAAGCGCTGCTTCCAGTACCGTTCTCTCATTTCCTGTTAATAGGGGAAAAAATCGTTCCTCTGGCCCCCGTTATTCTGACTTTGTACTTCTTCGTTGTGTCCATTCCTAGGGGGTATGCGAGGTTTTGGTCCCATGGTGTGGCTGTTTTCCCCTACTTCATTGACTTCCCTGAGGGGGTCGAGGTGTGGTTGCTCCCTAGGTGGTGGGTTGTTCTGACCTTCTTGAGCTTGTCGTACTTCCTGTGAGCGTTGTAAGAGCTTTAAGAGTTCTTCGTTTTGTTTTAGCAAGCGTTGATTGATGAGGCGAAGGGCCTCCATCTCGTTATTCATAGAGAGACCCCCACGGGTGAATTGGTCTCTTGGATGTTCTCAGGTTGTCTGCTATTAGTAGCTTCTTGTTGATATTGCATCCGTGGTGGATTTGTCTGACTTCGACTCATGTTTTGCGTTGATATCATCAGTCACTGAAAGATCAGTTTATTTATAACAGGAACAGTCATTTCCCACAGATGGCTCCAAACTGATGGCGTATTTCAACATGATGCAATTTTATGATAACGAGTAAATGAAAGAAATAATATTAGAATTATTGGGATCTGAGCTACTAGATCGAGGGAATGTTATTAAGAATTGTTGGGAAGTTGGGGGATTAACATAGTAGAAATATAATGGTTCACCAGCTCGGGAGTTTGGCTAATCCACTCTTCAATGGAGATTCTCGCTCCTTCCTTCACTCTTTACTATACCAAAAGGTTTACAGAATATAAGATGTGATACTAGGGTTCTGCCCCTCTGTTAGGGGCGTTAAATAATATTTATAGGGGTGGTCCTTAATCTATGGGATCTGATCCGTGATCATCGTCAACTATCCGAGGAATTCTCCTTGATCTTAGGACAGTATATTGGTTGGTTGAGGATTTTGTGCCTTGAGTGTTACTTCAAACCGCCTGTCGAGTTCTTTGTAGTATCCAGTTGCTTTCTCATTGCTTCAGCTTATTATCTCGCTTGAGGGGAACTCTAGCTCTAGTTTTATGAGCTCTGTATAGCTCTGACTTTCTGAGCTCAGCATACTTGACCTCCATGTTTGACCTCTGTTCTTGAGTTCCTGCTCGAGAATCATTTTGAGTATCATCAATTTCGATTAATCTTCTTCCCAATTCGATCAAATACATGTTATTTACATTGAGATTAGTATATTCATAAAAAATAAATTTCTCATAGTTTAACACAAAAGAATTGTCAAAATTTCAATCCAGAATATTTGAATTTATAACTCGTTATTAATATCACTTGATATATCATTTGTGGTTGAAATAAGGCAAAAGCTTCAAAACACAAAGAAGCACGCTTTGGAAATGGGTGGGGACGATGATATACGGTGGATGCACCAAAACAGAAAAAGAAGAAAGTAAACAGTTCCCCATGACTTAAAACAGAAAAAAGATCTGTTGTCTTTTCAATATCTAGAGCTGTTTAGATTCTCCTCTATGTCTAGCAAAACGTATCGATGCTGTAATGCGGGTTGATGTCAAAATGGCAATAGTGAGTGGAAGGTTCTCTCCAAAACCCAGTTGCTTTAGGTTTAAGCTTTTCAAGCAAGAACACTCACAATCTCGACAATTCAAGATCTCAACTCGAATTTAAATCGAGTCGAGAATCTTTTCTTCAATTTTTACTCGAGTGTCAAATATTTTCGAATGATACCCCTTGGGTTCGGGCTGATCTAACCAAATAGCACCCGTAGTTGGGGATTTGTTATTTTCATACCTTTGCTAAGATCCGAAAGTTGAATGTGGGCATAAGGTATTACTTGCTATCCCCAAACTTTTTAACCTTACCAAAAAAAAGTAATCAAGATAAAAGAAGCAGAGGCATTAGGCATGGCAACTATATACTGCATTACCCAACCAGCAATCACATCATTGCAGAAAAGGTGGGTTACCCATAAAATGAGAGACATTTCGATTCTCCTTATACATAAAGCACAATTGTTGGTTGCTACCAAATATAAAGACCCATTCTGTATGTAATAGTAGTGACTTTCAAGTAACCGATGACAATGATAACGACAATAAAATGGTGTTATTAAGTTAAATTTTATTAAAGTTTAACGATTGACTTCTCGATCACCGCCTCTATTATGTATTGAACTGTCCTGTAATGCAATAATTCAAGTGATCGTGGAAATAGTCAATTTGAACTACAACTTTATAAACTATCTGCGATCCAACTGTGAAGAAGGATATGAAAAGGCAGTACACCAAAACATTACATTAACTTTTTTGACTTTCTCTTATAATACGTGTCATACTTGGTCAATGAATAAACCCTACTACGTGATCAAGGTATACCATATTAGTCTATCCGAAGTTTTAAATAAAACTTGAGGGAAAAATTCTATTTTGTCTCTTGAAAGATATAAAAATTTTCAATTTGTTCTATGAATGATTAATTTTTTTTACATTGCTCCTTTAAAGAATAAAAAATATTACAATTTAGTCCACCATCTTATTTCTTTTTCATCATTCGTTTGTTTTATGATTTTCAATTGATTGATTTGACACAAAATAAATAAATGACTAAATAAAAATAAGACGAAGGACTACATTGTAACACTTTTATTTTTTTTAAGAGAGCAATACAAGAAAATTTATCATTCAATTGAGAAACTAAAAATTTTTTGTACCATTCAAGAGGCAAAATGGAATTTACCCAAACTTAAGAGTCCTAAACATGAGATTTGGGTAAAAAAAAAAAACAAAAGCAGCAGCAATCCAAAAATGACAACTTCAATTTTCCAAAATATAGATTTGGAAGTTCCACCATGTCCCACTCCAATTCCACCATTAAATTCAAATTCATCCAGTGGCATACAACTCATTTTACCAATAGATAAATGATTTGAAGATAATTACAATCATTTAAAAAAAAATTGGATACTCTTTGATTATACTTGCACCTCCTATTAAAATATAAGGGATTATCTAAATTAACCCGAACACGTCAGACCATTAAATTAAAAAAAAAAAAATTGGATCTATGCATGAATTTGTTTCAAATAACTCAAACAAAACTCTCTGTATGCCCCTAATGCACTATAAATGGTTACTTCTGAGGTCCAGGATTTTTTTTGATTTAACAATCAGCAGTGTTTTTTATTTAGGGTAATACTATTAAATTTGACTTAATTTATTGTCACAATAATATGATTTCATTAGACCAACACCAAATTTTATTGTTAATGTTTGATAGACCTTATAGTTAATTTAAAAGTCATAATAATGCTCTTTATTTAACAATCAATGTGTTGAATTCAATTTACAGATATCCATTACGAGAATAACGTATTCATTTATTACGAATTCATGAAGAGATTCAAACTCTAGAAGGCAGAAGTATTAAGGCCCTCAACGATAAAGATCCGATCAAGAGTTTGATTCAGTTCTCAAAATTTACCAAATGTATGGGAAGAGATCTTAAATTAAGATATTTTTTGAAAAAAATTAATATTAAGTGACTAATTATTGTACCTTATAAACCAATATAGGGGCAAAACTGTAACACAAGCCCCAAATGGTCAACAAGAAACGTTAACATGCCGAACGTGGAAGTAGCTCTCTTTAATAAATGTCGATTCATTTCATTATTTACACCTTTAACGACTTTTTTATTCCCAAATTACCCCTACTCTGGTATTGCGTTCAACCTATCTTCAAAATTCCGTCTTATTCCACCGCCGCCACCAGCAGCGCTACTCCTCCCTCTTGATCTCAACCCAGTACCACAGACATCAGCCACTCTTCTCGATGACCTACCACCCTTCTCTCCGGTTAACAACACCGGAGAAAAACTATGCCGACGACACCCACATTTCTCACCACCACTTTTCGTCAATGCAGAGCTCGCTTTCACCGCCAATGCCGCCATTTCCTCCGCCTGAGTGGGTAATTCAACCGACTCAACGGCAGAGCAAAATACAATTGACCCAGTTGAAGCTCCTCTTCGTCACCAATCGCCGAAACAACGTCGTCAAAGTCCATTTCGTCCGAGTTACAAATGAAACAAGATGGGTTCTTTTGCAACACGTACCAGACTTTAACTGGGTACGAAAATTCTTGTAATCTCCCATCTTGTAATATCAGCTTCGCCGTTGCCACAGATGTCGACTCGCATGAACTGCAAAGACCCATTGTTGATGCAGTTTGATCTTCGACGGGTTCACTCAGAAAAATGATGAACCAACTCAGGTCAGAGAGAGAGAGGGAAGGAGGCGTGCTCTCTCTGGGTGTGAGAATGTAGAGATAGAGAGAGAGCGAGAGAGCGTGGTGGAGGGAGGATTTCCGGTGGTGTATATGTAGAAGGGGAGAGAGTTGTATGGTGAATTGTAGCAGCAGAAGACGCCAGAATTGTCATTTTACGCATAGATCAGTGTGCAGGATATGCCAACCTGTAAACTTGTGGGTGACAGCTTGTAATGGTGTCCCTGAACAGAGACCCACGTTTAATGATTAAATTACGGAGATAGGGACTGGCCTTGGGTGTTTGTGATTATTCACTGACCCACTGACATCACTTCTTTCCGATTTGCTGAATAAAAGTTGGTATTTTATTTATAAGTAACTTATATTAATAAATTAAAATCAAAAAATAATTTTTAAGTATGATATTAAAAAGTTAAATTTTGATGCCATAAACTTGTCTGGTTGTTTATACGGTGCTTAGACAATTTCTTCAGTCTATTATTTGATTCAAAATATATATATATTTATATATAATATTAAAAAATAAATAATTGTTTGAATAAGTCCCTTAAATAATTAAATCATAAATTTTAAAAATTAAATTCAAATTTAAATAGATATAAATTTTATATGTTGACATGCCTAGGTGCGAGAGAGCACCAAAGAAGCACCACTACCATTGGACGATGCATCATCCTATTTATGGCAAATTATATCCAATGGGAATATTGATTTGATAAAGTAACGAGGTCACTTACCAGTGATAGCGACGTTGGTTGAAATTTTGAAAGGTTTTAGTTCAAAGTGTATGAATTAATTTATGAATATTTTAAATAATTTTTTTTATTCAGTAAAAGATAAAATATTCATGTTACGTTGAAAAAAATAGTACATATAAATTAATGGAATTATCTAGTACCGAAGAATGTGTTGACCAAGTTATCGGATATTGAGACTCATAAAAAAAATAAAAAATATAATGTTGTTGATCTGAAAACAAATTTTTGAGATAAATTATATATATATATATATAGGGAATAGTAGATGACTAGGTTGGGCTATGGGGGTATGAGAAAAATACATCATTCGTATCTGATAGGGTAGGTGGTGATGAAAAGGTCAAGTTGATGGGGGGCACTTTGAATGGAGGAAGACGTGGCACGCTGTCACAGTCCATGGGGCTGTAGGTTGCTGTACGTGAAAATGACACGTGGATGATTTCCCAACAAACCCCAAGACATCTTACGTCATTACGTATAAAAAATGATCTGTGTCTGTTGGCCTCTATACACCACACTTCTTTTATCCTCCATGCTTTTGTTTTTTTTTTTCAACTTGGTATGGTTACTTAATGTACTTGTCTGAAGGTATTTTATTTTTAAATAATAATTTATACAGAATCTGCAAAATTAATGGATATCGGAGTTGCTACAATTGCTTTAGTGGCACTTGCTTGATCTACTTTATATCGTTTTTAAACCATCTAATTTTTAAGGATAGTAAATTTTTCAATGAGATTGGGGCCAACCAATCAGATTATCTTTTATTCAAATTTTATTATCTGTTATAGTAAAAAAAAATGGGTAACAATAATCAAAACCCTACTAACTAACTGTGTAATAATAAAAAAAAGTATAAGTTTCAAAATCAAAGAAAAAGTTTATGCATAATCTGTGACAACCGCTCTAATAGAACCTTCTAATATCCCATTTTTATTAAAATTATTCACTCAATTGATTAGATAAACGTCAATTGTATTCGAAAACGAAGTCAATAGTGATAAAGAGAAGGAAGATTGAAATACATAAAAAGATAAGTGGGATACCTAAAAGAGAAAAATTCAAAAAAAGCGTTGTTTATAACGTATCGTGTATAACATATGTTTATCAAGTTCATGTGGTATTTATTCAACGCTAGTGTCAAATTATTTAATAGAAGGGACTAATAAATTTACCTATTTATCACTCAATTTCGCTAAAGTTAAACCTTCACTAATTATGTGTTGATTTCGTTGGTTTATATTTAGAATTGAGAGAACTAAAAATAGTTTCTCAAATTTATCTAAATAAAAAATTTCTCGTGAAAAATACGAACGAAAGGGCATAGGCAGGAGTCGAAGACAAAGGCCGTGGAAAATAAGGCTGTCAAAGTTATGTTTTGATGGTTTCAAGCTTACACTAATTAACCTCATTTTTCATGAAAATTTCAGTGGTAGCAAAATTCAAAATTTACCTATTTCCCAATTTTTTAAAAATTCCAATGGGGGCCCATTGCAGATCCGCCACTGTCCATATCCATTATCCAATCCCTTAATCAAGTATTTAATGGTTTATTTATTTTTCAATTGAATGCATATTTAGTCGGCTTCTAATATCATATAAGATAACTGTTTTAATCTCTAAATAATGTCTGCTTGTAATTAATTCAATTGGGACACTCGAAGATTGGTATTATTAAAATAAATTTTCATTTTATTCGATTGGTATGAAGAAAGAAACTCATTAAATTAGATGCATGCATCAACGAAGGTTCATAGTACCTTCTTGTGAATAATGTTCAACATGTAGGGTCTTACTTATGCATGAAATTCTCACATAGCCTTCAATAGCCTTCAAAAGTGGAATTGGACCCACAATCAATTTAATGATTATAATGAGAACCATGAGGTGCCTTTATAGGCTTATAGCATAGTTCTTTATTTTTAAGCATTCTTTTTCTTTTGACAATAATGTTATTTAAATTTAATTAATCGATTGAATTCAAATAATTATTGAATTAGTAGTGGGTATAACCTATCGTCATCGTAATAATAAAGAGTAATTTGAATACTAAATTAAAATAATAAATTACGTTTAAGTAGCATTTGCTTTACAAAAATTTGTTTACAAGATTCAGAGTTATTTTAAGTTTATTATGTCTTTTTGTTGTCTGTTTGTTCTTACGTTTTGTTTGCTTTAATGGAAGCCAGGAAAGGTATTTGAAAATGGTCCAAGTCCACAAACTCTGTCACCCCCACCCTTCGGTGAAGCTTCATACACATGGCAACTCGAAACCACCATGGTGGCTCATAGATTCGTCCTAAAATAGTTATATGGTATTCCTAGTCTATGTTTTGTCATGTGCAAAGCTTTTCATTTGTTTAGAGGATGGGAAAAAGCTCCTTTTCAGTAGGTG